CACCCCCTAAATTGGTATTCTTATAGCCCTTCAAACCCGGGGGTTTTTTTTTCCAGGAGATTTTCTTGAGCGATTTTGGCCCCCCCCGGGCGGGAAGGAGGGGGGGGGGGGGGGCCGTACTCATTTGTTGCTTGCGGTAGTCATTTGACCATTGCCCATGCGTCCCTTTCGAGACGGAGCACCGTTCCTACACCTACTAGAGACCCCACCAACATTTGGGAGCTCTTTACGTTTCTGCCACCAACTCCATAAAAGATTTCTTGCACATTTTATCCCCGTCCTCTAGGGCCTCTTGGCGGGGAGGAGGGGGGGGGGGGGGTGTACTCATAGTCGTGCATGCCGTAGTCGTTTGACCATTGACCTCGCATCCCTACAAAGCCGGGACGGAGCACGCCGGGTTCTCACCGGACCAGGCTCTCACATCACCAAGCGCGAAGCGCCGTGAGGTATTTGGCGAGTCGCATGAAGGGTGAGCTGCATCCTGCTAAGGGTGTTCGGCATCTTGGCTTACTTCCTTGCGTACGGATGACAGCTACGTATGACTTAGTTTATTTTCTGGTGCTTTCACTTCCACAGACAGTTGTAAGCACTGTGTAACTGCCTCGAGGAAGCTTGACCATTTTAACACAACGTGGTGCGATCATCCCCCGTTGCGCGGAGTGAGGGCTCTCGACCCCGCACAACATGATCTACTCGACCACCATTTTGGTTACCGCCAAAAAAAAAAACCGAGGTAAAAAAAAAAACGGTAACCTGGTTGCCGAGTTCACGAAGTGAATTGGCTTCTTTTACAACGTCGTTGCCAAGCGACGAAAACCCGATCCCGATGGCAAACACCGAGTGGGGGGCTTGTTTTACAACGTCGTTGCCAAGCGACGAAAACCCAACCCCGATGGCAAACACCGGGGGGGGCGGGGGGCGGGGGGCGGGAGGAGGGGGGGGGGGGATGAAATGGAAAGGGGCGCCGTGTGTGTGCGTGTGTTTCTGCAAAACGCACCGGCTACGAAAATTGGAAGGCCACAGACGCACGGGTTTTGCGGGGAAAAAAATAGCGGGGTGAACAAAAAACCGTCTTGAATATTGGTTGTGGTTGCTAGTCACAGATGGACTGGCGGAGGAAAATCCCTGCCTTTTTCAGACGCACAAGCAGGCAGAATAGGCGACGACACCGCCGGTGGCATGGAATCGGGGCTCTCGGGCACTTGCAAACGCGGTCCAACGGAGGCACAAGACGATGGATGAGAAGGAGAAAATCATCCCGCGTTGCGGGCAAAAGGGGCCCAGAACTTGCACGCATTCAGGCCCGCCGCGGTAAGTACTGCGGTGGGGTCAGGAAAACGTGTTTTGATTAAATAGCCGATGCCTGCGCGTGCTCTGCACAGGGTATTGTGTCGTGCACGATGTTTTTGCCAGCAGGATGCCGAAGAGCCAAATCTGGAACAACGTACGGAGCGGTGCTCCGCATGCGCGCATGCTGTTCGCACACGCGTGAAATCCCACGACTGATTGACTGGTCTGAGACGCTCGTGCGTGGGATGCGACAAGCCGATAGAGGGTACACGGGCGATGGAATGGATCCATCATTTCACAGAGCGATGGACTCATCATATTATTGGGCGATGGGTCCATCATACCCTTGGAAACACAACGGGACATCTACGGGCTGTGGGGACTCGCGGGCAAAAAGACCGCTGAGCACCGCACGAGCATTTTTTTTTTTTTTTTTTTTTGTTCTTCACTTCAAATCAGCGCTCACAGCACTAGTGCCGTTTATTCCAACCCGTGGTCACACAGAAGAGCCTCTCTCTACCTTCCCCTCCTGCGGTACTTCGCCTTCAATTTTTAATGCGAGAAGAGTTCAGCACTCTCTTCCCTCTGTGTACACACGAACTAGCGCTATCCACTTGGCCAGGAACGGAAGCGAGAGAAAAACTCACTTTGCAAGAAAAGCTCGCCTACGCCGGGATTCGAACCCCTGACCTGACCTCTAGAAGGTTACGAGGCTACCAACTAGACCACCGGGGCGACCGGCAATGCTCCAGGATAAATGCTGTCGGATTCGGGTAAAAACACTGTACACAACAACAGCAAGCATGCGTATGTCGTGCGATTTTTCCGGGATAAACAACGTGTCATGACAGTCGCACGCCTCTTTTCTCTGTCAGCCTGCTACGTAGCACAGCAGTCGATGTTCAAATATTGAAGTTTCGTGCGCGTGTTCGCGTCGAAACTTTAGTTGTCTACCACCCGTCTCTCGGAAAAGGCTTCGCAAAAGAATATAGATGGGCGGCCCATCCTATGGAAATTTTTGGCCCGCTTTGTGGGGCTCTGACATGCAGTACCGCTTTCCTACGATATGATCTGTCGACACTGCTATCTTCACGGGCCAATCAGCAAGCGTGGTCGGATGCCGCGCAAAACAATACGCGCATACGTTGCTTATTGCTTTCTTTCACGGAAACCAAACCCTGTCGGGTAAACGAGGGAAGTCCGCAACAGGCGGCGGCGGGCGGCGAATTTTTGGGTATCCGCAAAGCGTTTATTAATATTCTTGAATCATACCAAGGTGCCAGACAAGTCAGATGTGCCACACAAACACGAGGTTCTTGCGATAGACCAGCAAACGCGCAGGCAAGTTCTCGGAGGGGGGGGTAGCCGGGAGCGCGTTTCGTTGTTCCACGTACAAAAGGACAAGAAGGGCAACACCGTCCGGAAAGTCAGCGTACCTACTATGACGCACTATTAGAGGCTGTGGGGGCACGGTTGTGCACCAAGGGTCGCACGGTTCTGTTGAATGCAACACACTCACCGTTCCAGAGGAGATGGCCTCAGTGAGCTCGGGGTGCGGTGACCTCCTTTTGGTGCCCGTCCATTCACTGATAACGCTTCCAAGACGCCGTCGTTTGGAGTTGAAGCAGTTTTTTTGTCCGCAGGGGCGCGGCACGGCGACTGGTGCGGCGCCACACACTCATGATGATCTACGGAGATCACCCTGACGGATCCACGATCATGAGGTCATCATGGTGACCGTGTTTTTCCGTGTTTTTTGTTCCACCCCACAGAGGGGAGAAGTCGCGACCATTTTTATATATACATCATATTTTCTCTTTTTTCTCTTTTTCTCTCTTTTTTTTCTCTCTTTTTCTGTGCCAGATGGCCTTGTCTCTGCTTGCGTTGTGAAGTACCAAGATTGAACCAAGGGGGTGTACCTCTTTCTCTCCGGCCCATGATAGTGACTCCTAGTCTCAGTTGATACATACGTACCTCGCATAGCGCGCAGAGGGAGTGGAGGACTCCAGAATATCTGTCGTTGATTTCTATTGACTTGCGGACCCCGTACCTTTTTAGGGAGGGTAAGTTAACCTGTGACCACGGGAATCGACCGCGTCGAGTGTTGGATCAGTACGGACATACGAAGGTACTCAGTAACTGAGTAGTAGAGGGAGATCGGAACGGTTTCTAATGTGAAGACAACAACAACAACAACAACAACAACAACAACAACAACAACAACAATCAATATATGCATACATAATATATGTATGTAGTTGTTCTATCCCTGCTTCTGTACGGACCCCCCGACCCCTTACAGCCTACGGACCCTTTTCGCGTACATCCTTGCTGTACGGAGGGACGTGGACGCTTGGGGCATTGTTTTCGGGGCATCGCGCATATGATTTTTTTTTTATAGCGATTTCCCTGCATGTCTGTGTGTGTTTGCTTCAAAATGACATTTTTTTTTTTTTGTCTTCTTCACTTCAAATCAGCGCTCACAGAACTAGTTAGTGTCGTTGACTCCAACCCGTGGTCACACAGAAGAGCCCCTCTCTACCCTCCTCTCCTGCGGTACTTTGCCTTCGATTTTAGCGAGAAGAGTTCAGCACTCTCTTCCCTCTGTGTCCACACGAACTAGCGCTATATCCACTAGACCAACCAGGAGGAGGAGCGGAAGCGAAGAAAAACTATAACTCACTTTGCAAGAAAAAAAGCTCGCTTATTTTACGCCGAGATTCGAACCCCTGACCTGACCTCTAGAAGGTTTCGCGGACCATCTAGCTAGGTAGACCACCCGGGCGACCGGTGATTGGAGAAAATTGCATGCGAGAACTTGATGATGTTGTTGGACTTTGGTTGTTCGTGACACCACACCCACCCGTGGGATACTACAGGCCTTGGCGCCATGGGTTCTAGGGTGTAGTATTTCAAATGACACGACCCTTTGGCTATACTATATTCTCCTCCTCCTCCTCCTCCTCCTCCACAACATCTCGGGACCCGGCACCTCCTTTCTCCGTCCTCCTCCTCTGCTTCTTCCCTCCCCTTCCTGTCTGTACACCTCATCAGCAGCAGCAGGAGACGGCGATGAGGGTCTGTCTTCTTGCAGCGACCCACAGCAACAACCAACACAACAACAACAACAACAGCAGTTTTTGACATCCATGTTCGCCACCCAATCCAGTCTATCCACTTACTTGCTCATTTTGCTCCTCCCACCACCTAGTGCACGTATCAAACGCGGCGGGTACAATGTATCACAGAGAGAGATGGAAACACTGGTTGACTCTATCTACAAGTCATGTATGTTGTAGACCACCTGCTTGCTGCAGGGCAAAAAATGAACCACGCGTTTTTTCTGCACACGAAGACTGAAGTTCCCCACGTGCAATGCATATATATATATGTGCATGCATGCATGGATGATACGGTACGTACCTGTGTACTAACGTCTATTTGCTGGACAGGGAACGGGGAACAGGGAACTCGGAATTCCCTGTTCCCTGTTCCATGTGTTGTGTCCGTACAACACATTTCCAGGAACAACACGGAACGTTTCAGCGCGCGCTTGCGGCCCGCAGGTACTCGAAGGCAATAAATACAACCATTGGATGGACAAAGACGAGTGGGGGGTATAGAGGAGGGAGGAGGTGGTGTAGGTTTTGAAGGAAGCTGTTGACGAGCGCACATCAAACACATGTGCTACGTAACGGATAAAAGGCGGTGCTCGCCATGCAATCCGCAAGTCCGCACCCTCGACAGTGCTCTGGAAGACATGCTTTGTTGAGTTGTGGTTTATGGCAGCTTGCCGCCTCTTCAACACTTTATGTTCCCCCATACATTTTTTTTTGTTTTTGCATGCGAGACACCTGACAATGGTGGCAATGCCTATATACGGCTTGAACCGGAAGCATGCAGCACCTGTGGCAGCCGCATGCCCGAGAGTGATCACTCACATCCCACCACGTCCTGAATTGCCACCGAAGAGCCCATGTTCCACGTTCCCTACGGTCTGTTGGCTAATTTTAACTTCCGATTTTTTTTTTTTTGCGGCACTTAAGCTTTCTGTGTGTGTTATTATTATTCATTAATAACGACCTCAAACAGGGAACGGTGTGTGGCATTTCTTGTTTCCAGGAAAACTATTTTGTGCGGCTGACCAATCAGGCAATAATAATTCCGAGTCCCCTGTTTCCTGTTCCCTGTCCAGAAAATGGACGTTTTCAGTACACGCCCTCATTGCTTTTTTTTTTTTTTTCTTAATATGACACAACGAAACCATCTCTATCATAGAAAAGAGTCTGCGACAGATTAGCAATTTTGTTGTTGTTGTTGTTGTTGTTGTTGTTGTTGTTGTTGTTGTTTTGTTCACATTAAAAATCCGGTCTCCGCGCAGAGTACTCAGTACTACTAATAAACGAATTAATTAAACACCGACGGCGCCACCGGCTTTTTTTTCATGAACGGCTCGTCTTTCAGCGCCCCCCTCGGGCTGATGATGATCATGGGCGGGCATGTGAAAAGCCATCGAGTTCCGCTTCGAATTGTCTTCGAGGACAGCAGCAGGACCTACACGCCCTTCTCGAAGCAACAGAACAACTGATTTTGTGCATCATGTGAAGCGTACTTGTTCCGGGGGTGTACTCTGTACGCTATGGTTGTTTCGTTGTCCCAAACGGGAGTGCTAGACCAATGAACGAGGGACCAAGTCTTCACACGCGGCGGACCAAACATTTGAAATTTCAGGAGGAAAGTTCGGGAATCCACCGTGTCCGTTTCCGTCATTATTTTCTGTTGGCTGTGACACCAAGATTTCTTGGCAAACAGCGCACACAGCGATACGTTCCTCGAAGTGCTCGATGCACTTCCCGCAATAACCTCGTTCCGCGCACAAGAGACCGCCCCGTGTCTACCGGCCATCGACGGCTCGCGGACCATCCGCTGTACGGCCGCTGTCCCGCGGACCAGGACCAAGCCACGATCTGCGGAAGACGGAGAGTACTTTTTTCGTGTGATGCAAGGTTTCTAAACCAAAAGGTGAGAATTTGGCGGGCACAGCCAGCCCACAACCATTTCGCCCATCCATGCTTGCATGCTGTCGGAATATAAAAGCGTATGCATCGTTGTATGCATATATGGTTGTCGATGTAACAAGATGGAAATACGGCCGGGCCGGCAGCCCCTACTGCGCGCCAGCTGTTCTCTGTCGTTGATCTGTGGCGAAGGCGCGGATGACATGCGTTTCTGCGGTGGTCCAGATAAGAATGAGACAGACAAGCCGGCGCCCATAACTCATCATCATCATCTGTGTCCCTTGGTCCCTTCCCCATGGTTGCAGTCACTCCTTGAACTGCACAAGCGCTGCTGTGCTTGTAGCTACGACGGCATCGAGGTGCTCCACAACAAACAGCACCTAACTATATGTAAACCTATGTAGCGATGGGGCGATTAGAAGTTGTCAACCTGTGCGATGAATCCACGAACTGTTCTTATTTATGCCCACAGGTGGCCGTGCTAAGTGCTACCATTTAAGATAAAAGAGTCCGCTTTATTGGCAACCTCTACATATTCTAAGCTTGTCTAAGCTTAATAGGTAAATAGAACACTCTCAACAACAACATTGCAAACCCATGTGAAATGGATCGATCGCCTAATGACATTGCTGCCGAAATTCCTTTGACTTGGTCCTTTATTGAGTTGGTACATGCCTCTTACTTCCGGCGTTCCACATACATACCTGCCGTACTTCAATCGTACAAGATGTTGCAACAAGGGGAGAACCCGACAGAGAGGAGGCGGATCAATATTGCGCACAACCCGTTGCGCAAAACAAACAACGCATCTCGTTGTCTATGGACACCGACTTTCCGTCAGCCTTGGAATACAGTAGTAGTACATCCCTCTTCCTTCAGTTGTTCCACATACATACACCAGTTGGGCTTCGCTCGTTGAACATACCTGTGTTGCAACAACAACAATAATCTATTCAGACGAGAACCACTGCACAGCAATAAATAACGCATCTCGTTGTGTATGCTCACAAATGAACCTTTTCCTGTGAGCTGCCAAGGTGCATCACTACCATGGCAGGGAACAAAATCGCCCGGCAGCAGTGCATTTTTTTCATTTGCACTCAAACCGTCAAACATCATCACTTGCAATGGAAAAATTTGCCACGCGGCGGTAACATTTCTCTCAGTCAATCAATTCCAAGACGGGGAACAAAATCGCCCTGCAGCAGTAAACATTTTCATCTGCACTCAAAACAATCAAACATCATCATGTGCGATGTTAAAATTGCGACGTGGCGGCACCATTTACATAACGCGCCACCACTTAAGAACCGCTTACCTTGAGGTTCGACGCTTATTGGTTACTTACCTCCAACGAGCACAGTTCTTATCGAAGTTCTTGTTTGGAGCAGGTATCCACCTCTGTATGCATAGGTAGACGGGGTTCTTGTTCTTATTTCTAAACCGATTGCCCTATGCAGAGGACACAGACACACAGACAGGTCTTTCTGGGTGGATTTCATCGCGAGACACTACCGCTGTAAGAGACACTACCGCTGTAAGAGTACAATGTAGTTGTAAAATCGCCCCCTAGATGGCAGTGCCGCATGTGTTAAAACAGCTAAAAAGACGCTCATACAAAACGCTCATACATCTCTCACCTTCGTAGCTGAGCACGGTATGTGCGTGGACCTTCGTAGCTGAGTACAGTTCGTGCGTAGACCGTTTCCTCGGGACTGGGAATCAGTGTGATGTAGGGGGGTTGCGCTTACCTGTCGTCGTTGTCTCTCCCGGATCGTATCCATTCCTTGTACGGTATCAAGCAAATAGTGTCGCAGCTTGCTGACGACCTACGTGCGAATGACGACTGTGAACACCTACATCTCATAGCGTACGGTATCATCCCATCATCACATGTTAGCATGACTTAGTAAGGCATGCGATAGACATGTTAACGGGTAATAACGTGCACTTTAACAGGCTTTATTATCTTCCGTCCACATGGGGGGTGTTAAGTAAACACCGGGTGGGTAGCAACGTTCGCGAAAACGTGCCACGGAGAAACATGTTGAAGTTGTCTCTTCTTCGTAGATGCGGCATAACCGCCGCCTCTTCGAATCCTCTAGAGGGCAAACAGGGAAGCGTCCGATACTTCAATGCCTGTTTATGGCCCCCATACCCCTAGCGCCGCGACCACCGGACAGTCACGGCCCATCATAGTATTTTGTGTAGATTCTACGCGCAGCCGCCAAAACACATGTACGGTATGGGACAGGAGAGGTTGCCGAGAATAGCTTGGGAGGCGAAATGGACAAACAAGAAGAATTGGTGTGTGCCAACTTATGCATACGGAGTGAGTTGATGCTGGTAGGCGCATGGAAGGGGGTCGAGATTGACGAAGGTGATACACTGGAGAGGGGAGGTCTAGAGGGGTTCACGGAGAAGATACAATATGTATGTGTTGTTGCTTTTGCCGAGAGAGACGGTCATGATCTATCCGAAGAAACCAAGGATAAGGAGGGTCTCGATGTGTACGGAATATTAAAGAAGGGAAATGTTTAAGGAGTACCTACATGGATGAGCCAATGGATGCAGAGACAAAGCTGAAGGTCAAACTTAGGACTGGGGATATTGGCCTTTGAGAAAGTAGACGAAGACTAAGGACGGTAGACGATGAAGACGACAAATCCAGATGTGATTGCGGCTCCGAGAGCGAAGACCATGTTCATGTACTTGCGGAATGTCCGTTGTACAAGAAGGAGAGGGAAATGTACATGACTGAGCTAGCTGGGAAAAAAGCAGAAGGAACAGGAACAGAGAGATGTTTGACGAAAATAGCCAGGAGAAGACGGTAGCTGTACTGGGGCATAGGAAGTGGAAGGCGTGAAGTGATATCGATAGGGTAGATTGGGAGAACATTAATAGGCCGCGTTTGACGAAGTACTTCGAAGTGGGAAGGAACGATTGACATCAGTGATCGGTCCTGTTGGAACATTGATGCGTCCTCTCGAGGACGTCGGTCAATGGTCTATTCGCTAAGGCATGCGAAACATG